TCTGGATTTGGATAAGAACTCTGGAATCGCATTCAAATACAATCAACATTCAACAAACACTTACTACTATGAGCCAGGGGCTGTTGAAGATGCCAAGGCTATAGCAGTGAGAAAAGGAACCAAAAATCCTGCCCTCATGGAGGGTATATTCTAGTAGAAGTGACACCATTTGTGACATTAGGTAAGAAGTTTAATTGCCTGAGCTTCATTTCTTCCTTCAGTAAGTCTTTAGTTATTGCTTACTCCGTGCCAGGCAATGGGAATATAACAGCCAAGGAATGAGATATGTTCTGTGCCCTCATGGGCTTAAAGTCTGGTGGGATAAACCAACATATACTCACAAATTTGTAATTACACGCTATGGTAAGAGCTCTAAAGGAAAAGTATACACAACCTGAAGGATAAGTAGCGGTTTAAAAGAGTGAGGGATGACATTACAGGTACAGGAACTGTTAAAGGTCTCTGAGGCTGGAGGGAAAGAGGTTGCAAAGCCAAAAGGGAAAGGAGAGGAGTAAGGTTCAAGAAAGGGTTTAAGCAAGGATGAAGTATGATCATTGGGTTAAGATTCCCCCAGTACAGGGGGGCCTGGCTGGATCAGTTGGTAGAGCTTGGAACTCTTGATCTGGGGGGCATGAATTCAAGCCCCATGCTAGACACAGAGTTTACTTTTTTAAAAAGTCGGGGAAGGGGGCACCTGGGTGGCTCAGTTGGTTGAGTGTCCGACTTCAGTTCTGGTCATGATCTCATGGTTTGCAAGTTTGAGCCCTGCATCAGGCTTCCTGCTGTCAGCACAGAGTCTGCTTAGACTCCTCTTTCCCCCTCTCTCTGCCCCTCCCCGGCTCACGCTCTCTCTCTCTCTCTCAAAAATAAACATTAGAAAAATAAAATAAAATCTTTAAAAAAAAAAAAAAAGACTCTTAGAAGCAGATCACACAAGAGAATCAGAACGGAGACTTGGTTTCCTCATTTTTAAGAAGAAACTAACCTCCCCTAAATCATAGGGTCACTGCAAGAATCAAATAAGATTGTACATGTTCAATCTTAGATATCATAAGCGCTATCATTATTTGTCACAGCAGGCTATCTCTACCAAAGAGAATGAATCCTGAGGCCCAAAATTAAAGTCCCAACATTCTGTGGCTACCAGTGGCAGGAAAAAAAGAATTACTTTTGAACTACCTTACGTGTGGGAAGGAATTCCACATGAAGACCTAATGGGAAGGGAGGGAGGAGGCACAGAGTTTACAAGATGTGCAGAGATGCTGGATTCTACTCTCCCTGGTACCTCCAGGGCCTGGCCCACCCTCATTCCTGACTGAGAGTATGACCAACACATATCTGGCCCCAGAGTCCTTAGTTTCCTTGGGGCTGACCTTCAGCAGGTCCATAAAAGCCCATCTGTCTATACCCAGCACAGCAGACCTCCCTGCCAGAGCAAAATACAGCAGAAAGGGGAGGCTGGGCATGGATACGCTTCACATTGCTATGAAAGACCATGTTTTATTCAAGTTCACAAAGTACAGATTTTTCAACCACTTCACATTTAATATTCTTGCATTCAAAGAGTTCTGTTGCTTATAATTTGAAGCTAATTAATAGAGAACTATACTCAGGGATTTCAAACCTGGCTTACCCAGACATGTTACACTGGATAGCCTCTACCACTCTCTTATCTGTAAAATGTTAATGACATCCTGATTGTAATATACAAGGTAGAATATGGGCATGGTACCTAAAACAATATCTGGCTGACACAATATATTAAAAAAGTATACACACACACACACACACACACACACACACACACACACACGGGGTGCCTGGGTGGCTCAGGAGGTTAACTGTCCAACTTCAGCTCAAGTCATATCTTGCAGTCCATGAGTTTGAGCCCCACATGGGGCGTCCATCTCTGTGCTGACAGCTCAAAGCCTGGAGCCTGCTTCGGATTCTGTGTTTCCCTCTCTCTCTGCCCCTCACCTACTCACATGTGCCCGCTCACTCTCAAAACTAAACATTAAAAAAAAACTTTTTAAAAATAGTAGTGATTGAAGTTTTTACAGTTAAAATACCCTGAGACTTTCAAAACACCAAGCAAACTATTAGTGAGATAATATAGTTTATACCAAAAATCTGTATTAATTTTAAACATCATCATCATCTGGAATTTTAAAAAATATATCCATTACCATAAAATGGTGACTCCAAACTCAATACAAGATATGAGTCCTAAACACAGTCAGCATACTGCAAAGCTGCTCTAGAAAGGGTGCTAAAGCGACTGTCTCAACAACTCTGGTGTTAGTTTCAGGGATCTGGCCGCATGGCCCTCCTCAATTCTACCTTATGATTCCCAATTTAGCTGCAGGAGTTTAGCCGGAGGTTGAGAAACTCATGCTGGCAAAGTACCAACCAAGCGGCCTGGAGTGAGGAATCAACTATCACCAAAAGAGACTACTGAATCACGAAGCTGCAATTATTCCAGCAAAAGTCACCACATCTGAGGATCAGGACACCAGTCATCATCCTTTAGGACCTAGCAAGCACTGGGCCATTAAAAAAACTTGGGGGAAGCTACATCTACTAGACCTCCATTAGGCTGTTTTGTAATTTAGTAATTTACTAAAATATTTTATTCACATGTTTATTTATATTCACAGGGATTCTGCAAATAAACAAATTCAGAATAAATACTTCAGCAACAGACTATTCTATTCTGCTAATTACAAATTAGTGCATTTTTTTACTTTCACTGACTTCCAAGAAAACATTATTTCTCTTAAATGGGGGTAATCCCTTAATACACAACATATCAATTATTTAACTGATTATTTGGTAAAGAAAGGGCTCAGCAGCTGAGGCATGTGAAACATTAGAAATTAAAATCCCTGAGTGGTCACCCACCACCGTCAGGGATAAAAACCAAAACCCTTCGCATGACGGCTGGATGCTCCCTATTTAGTCTGACCTCATCCCCTTAACGCTCCAGCCACACCTGCCTCAATTCAGTCCCACGAAAGGGCCAACTGCTTGCTTTCAGAAGCAATGTTCCAACCCTGTCAGAACTCAATGACACTCCACAGTCTCCCTAACATGTCCACTTACTAACATCTTCAGGTCTCAACTCTGTGCATAAGCGTTACTTCTTTTAAAAACCCTTCTATGATTCCCTGAGATGAAGTCAAGCTTCATTCATACCTGGAATGTAGTTCAAGTCAACTCTGCAGATAGATGTTTATGTGATTATTTCCTTCCAGGTATGGCTTTCCTACATCTGTTCACTCCAGAAAGAAGGACTGCAGTCTCCCTGGTAGTGGCAGTAGTCTACCTACTCGGCATACAGTAGGCATCCAATGAAGGTATCAGAATGGGTAGCAAGTATCAAACACAGTTCTGTGCATTACAGTTAAAAAGATGGAAGGATGGTGAATTATCAAACTATTTCTCAATAGTAAACGATAAACCGACAAATAAGAGATGTGTATAAGAAAGAACCTGTATCTCAGGCAGCTCCAAAGGAACAGGAAAAACAGGAATTCTGGCATCAACATGTTTTAAAAGCTCAGACAAGTCACTCCATTCTGGGCTTTGATTTCTTCATCTCTAATATGAAGAGATTAAACAAGAAAATCTTTTATTCTATACCTTACTTACAGCTGTCATTATACCTACTAACAACTAATCCTGAATCCCTCCTATAAAATGAGACTTCAAACACACTTGTGGACATTTGAAATACATGGAGATGTAATGTCTAGCATGAATGACTTACAAAACTGGAAAGTATTAGCCAAGAAAAACATTCAATTTGACAACCTAAGTGTAAATAAAATACGAATACTATAGTAGTTATTTTTAATAGAGAGCTTATATAAACAAAAGTTTTTTTTAAGTGTATTTATTTTGAGAGAGAGCATGTGAGTAGAGGAGGACAGAGAGAGAGAGACAGAGAAAGAGAGAGAGAGAATACCAAGCAGGCTCCTCACTGTCAATGCAGAGCTCCACTCACAGGGTTCGATCCCACAAACGGTGAGATCATGACCTGAGCCAAAATCAAGAGTCAGATATTTAACCAAATGAGCCAACCGGGTGCCCCTCAACAAAACATACTTAAATCATTATTTTCTGAGCAGTGCAAGCACACACAAAACCTAAATTTTGTCAGATCCGCCCAATTTACCAAAACTGCCATTTTTACTCTATTCCTAAAACTCCAAGAACCCTACTCATCCCCTTTACCTCATTCCAAAAACCTTTCTGATTAATCCCATCCCACTGTGAACACAATATCCTTAACATTTTGTGGATAATTTGTTCCATGTTATCTTCTACTCAGAGCCAACCCAGAATGTTAGAAATAGATAACATCTACTCCAGCCCTCTAATTTCACAGATTAGCAAACCAGGAACTAGAAAGGCTCGGGGACTGGCCCACCATTACACAGCTAGTCTGCAGCACAGCCAAGACGCGTCCACATACTGCTCTGTAATTATTCTGCGGTTGTTCATGTTTTTACTCCACATTCCCCTTCCTGTTAGAGGCTAACACCCTGCTTTCCTCTTCCGACCCCACAAAATATCTCAGCTACCACCTACGGAGCACCTAGTGTGCTTTTCACAATTTCTCATTTCATCCTCTCAACCCCAGACTACTACTTTGATAGTGAGAAAAGTGAGGCTTCGAGAGGCTCAACAGCCCCAGGGTCACCAGCTACTACGCCCTGGCACCAGATTTTGAGCCCAGGTTTGTCTGACAAACAAGAGCTCTTCCTCTATGGATGCCAACCAGGCCCAGCACTGCCGTGGGCAGTCTGATTCAATCTGGCCTATGACAAGATATTTTGTTTTGAAACCAGAGAGGCAAGGCTCAATGGGCAGTTTTACTTTACTTCATTCATTCACTAAATAAACATTTATTAGCCCCTAATACGTGTCAGGCACGAGTTCAGGAAGCCAGGGACACGGCAATGAACTAAACATGGCACTGTTTTCATGGAGCGTACCTTCTCATGGAGGAGAAAGACAACGAACTTGTAATGTGTCAAATGATGGAAGTCCTATGAAAGAAAAATAAAGCAGGTTAAGGAGAAGAGGCGCTGAGAGGAGGGGTATTATTTTAGACACAGGGTGGTCACGGAAGTTGTGATATTGTGATTTATAATGAGAAATATACATCTGGTCTTAGTCCCCCGTTTCTGGCACAAAGTTCCTAAAATCTTTGGAATTTCCTAAGTGATGACAGGGATAGAGGTGTCTTTTGTTGTGTTAATGAGGTGACTGCTGGACCAACCGTCAGCATGGAGGCTGCTTACCAAGAGAACCAACAGGTCACTATGGGGTTGAACCTTTCAGTTCTTTTTCAGAGAAGGACTCAACTGCCAATCGCCAAAGATTTTATCAATCATGCCTATGTAACAAAGCGTTTTTAAAAACCCAAAAGGATGGAGTTTGGAGACTGGGGAAAGTGCCTTGCCCAGGGGAACATGGAGACTCCATGCCCTTTTTCCATACCTTGCCCTGTGTATCACTCCTGTCTGGCTGTTCTTGAGTTATATCCTTTTACAATAAACCAGAAATCTAGTAAGTAAAATGTTTTTCTGAGTTCTGTGAACAGCTCTAGGAAATTAATCAAATCCAAGGAGGGCGTGGTGGGAACCTCCAATCTATAGCCTAGGCTTGTGACTGGCCAAGCAAAGGGCAGTCCTGTGGTGCTGTGGAATCGAATGTTCTCTCTCCAGGTAGAGAGTAAGTAGTGTCAGAATTGGTGATGTGTGGGAAGACAGTCCCCCTACCACATAGGAACTGGTTACCAGAAATCTTTTTAAAGGACTTCTCAGATGAGGTGACGTTTGAGCACAGGGACAGAGCAGGACAGAGCAAGAAAGAGCTATGACAATATCTGAAAGAAAAGCATCACAGATAGTGCAGTTAGTAAATATGAAGTGCATGCTTGATGTTGCTGGAGCAGATTACATACAGCAGAGTGCAAAGTGTTGGGGACGCCCCCCCACCCCCAGGCCTCTCTAGGTTCAAATCCCTGCCCTGCCTCTACCTAGCAGTGGAACTGTGGGCAACTTCCTAAATACCTCGAAGTCTCATCCATAACATAGAAATAATGATTCTAGGGGCGCCTGGGTGGCTCAGTCGGCTAAGCATCCGACTTTGGTTCAGGTCATGATCTCACAGTTCATGGGTCCGAGCCCCTCATCGGGCTCTGTGCTGACAGCTCGGAGCCTGGAGCCTGCTTCAGATTCTGTGTCTCCCTCTCTCTCTGACCCTCCCCCACTTGTGCTCTGCTTCTCTTTGTCTCTCAAAACTAAATAAATGTATAAAAAAAAATTTTTTTAAAGAAATTATGATTCTATTTTCCTAAGGGGGCTGTTATTAGAATTAAGTAAATTAGTAACATGTAAAGCACTTGACACTCAGTATGTTCCTAGGGTTCAGGAAATGGTAGTTATGATTTTTAACCAGGTCATTGATAACATCTCCATCAAGACAATTTATTTTCAATTTGATAGTTTTGAATCCAAGGGTTAAATTATGCTGTTAGCTTTGTACATGGCCAATGACTTCCTCCTAAGCCTTTAACTTCCTTAGCTGGACTTCCTGTCCTGATGAGGACTCTGTAGGAACCATACTGATGCTATCACAAGAATAGGAGGAGGGGGCACCTGCATGGCTCAGTCAGCTGATTGGTTGATCAGTTGATGGTTGATCCTCAGACTCTTGGTTTCAGCTGAGGTCATGTTCTCACGGTTAGGGAGTTTAAGCCCCAAGATAGGCTCATCACTGAGAGTACAGAGCTTGCTTGTGATTCTCTCTCTCTCCCCCTCTCTCTCTCTGCCCCTCCCCTGCATGTTCTCTCTCTCCAAAATGAATTAATAAACCTAAAAAAAAAAAAAAGAGCAAGAGGAAAATCACTGTTAAACTAATACAAATTATGCTCTTCACTCAACATAACCCCTACCCCCAAAGAATCGGATGCTTCTTCAGAACTGTGATCTACTGTCCCTTGGATTTAAGTCACTGGTTTCATAAAACAGATCCCACCAGTCTTAACTCCTCACTAGCATCACTGACAGAAGCAGGTGGTAATTTCAGCTGCAATCCTGTCTTGAGAAGGGTTAAAACTTCTCTTCAAAATGAAGATGGTAATTTAACTTAAAAAAAAAAAAAAAAAAAACCTTTCTCCATTGTCCTTTTGGCCTAAACTTAACTTTCTTTTCAAAGAAATTAGAACATCAAAGCAAATTCAAGAGTCATCTGGCCTGGCCGTCTCCAGACTATTCCTTAGAGCGCACCCCAAAGCAACTCAGGAAGGTACGGTGAATGGCCCTGTGGATGGGCCCAGAGCCAGGGGAAGATGTCAGGGCCGCAGGGAAATTCTGCTCCTCTGCCCTATACCCTCTCCCCCTGCTCTTTTCTTTAATGCTATGTTTACTTTTCATCTATGCAGCCCAATGGGTTAAAGGGCAAATCACAGGCAGAGAGAAACCACAGCAAGCCCAAGCCTGTGAGAGGTAAACTGGGAGTCTTCCCAAACCACTTGTAAGGCTGGGGAGAGCCCACCGACTGCTGTTTTCCGTCAATTAAAAAGAGGTCAATGTTCTAGTATGACAAGTCTTGAATGAAGCATTTTAAACATCAGATTCTCCTCCTAGACAAATCAGATCTGATAGCTTTCCCTTTGAAATGCCTTAAGTGTACATTTAACTGGAGCTATAAGAAATCCACAAAATCTTTTCATTGATTTATTCATCTAACAAATATTTATCAAGTGCCTGCTCCATGCCAGCACTGTGCCAGGTACAGGGATTCAATACAGAACAAAACATACAAAAATCCCTGCCCTTATGGAGCTTACCTTCTAATCAGAGGAGACAAATTATAAACAAAATATATAACTGTATATGAGACAGAGATAAATGCCAAGTAAGAAAACAGAGCAGAGAAGAAAGAAAGGAAATACTTGGGGTCTCTGGTTTGGTTTGTTGCTTTGTTTGGGGTAAGGACTTACAGGTGTGAACTCTATGGATATCTGAGAGGAAAACATACCAAGCAAAGTAAACAGCACATACAAAGGTCCTGAGACAGCATGTCTGGCATGGTTATGGAACAGCGAGCAGGCCAAGCAGCTGGAGCACAGTGAGCGAACCAGAGGGCACATGAGTGAGGTCAAAAAGGTAACAGGCAAGGGAGTGGTGGCTGGTTGTGTGGAGCTTTACATTGTAAGGACTCTGGCTTTTACTCGAAGATAGGAAAATCAGAGTGTTGTAAGCAGAGAAATGACAGGATCTGACTTGGGCTTCATCAAGGCCATTCTGGCTGTTGGGTGGAATATATTGCAGACAAAAAAGGAAGCACTACTCCCCAGCCATGTGATCTTGGGCAGGGCACCTAACCTCCCTGTTCTCCTCTTTAAAGGGACTTAAAGAGGATTATTTCTAACCCATGCTCTAACCCTAAACTCTATGATTCTGAGTTTATTTCCTTTGCATTTTCCGTATGGTTACAGTCATATCCACCGTAAGCTTCACCTCTCCCCAAACCTTTAACTGAAGTGGAACTGAGTTGAAGAATTCAATGTAATATATATTATATACCAAACCCATGCTACACTCCTAGGATACAGAGATGATGAGACTTGATAATGCTCTAGAAAAGTCCATAATCTGACAGAGAAAGAAAATAAGTTCTCCAGATGTAGCTGTAAAATAAAGTAAAGAAGACGCAACCAAGCACCTGCCAGGAAGAGCCATGTGTAGCTTCACCACAGACGCTGACAACATAGATAGCGAGCCTGGATGAGTAAGCAAGAGACCACCAGAGAAAGGAAGGGAGGATATGTTAGAGGAGAGACAAGTACAAAAAGCAAAGGAGCATGAGAGCACCTGGCATGCTCTGGAATCCACAAGGACTCTGGTATGGGCAGAGAGAGGTTTAGGGAGAAGGAGGAGAAATGGCTTGAAAAAGTGTCCTGAGGCTACATTGTTAATAACCAGACATCTCCTGCCAAGGATAATGGAAGGCAAGTGACTTCTGAAATGCAAGAAAAGGAGCACCTGGGTGGCTGTCATTTAAGCATCTGACTTTAGCTCAGGTCATGATCTCATAGTTCGTGAGTTTGAGCCCTGCATCGGGCTCTGTGCTAACAGTTCAGAGCCTCAAACCTGCTTCGGATTCTGTCTCCCTGTCTCTGCCCCTCCCCGACTCATGCTCTGCATCACTCAAAATAAATTAAAAAAAAAATAAACATTAAAATGCAAGAAAAGATGGGGTGCCTGGGTGGCTCAGTCAGTTAAATGTCCCATGCCTGATTTCAGCTCAGGTCATGATCTCATGGTTCGTGAAATTGAACACTGCAACGGGCTCAGTGCTGACAGCACAGAGCCTAGGGGATTATGTCTCTCTACCTCTCTTTCTACCCCTCTCCAGCTTTTGCATGTGCACACATGCTTTCTCTCTCAAGCTCTCTCAGAATAAATTAACTTAAAAATAAAATAAAATGCAAGAAATGAAAACATGGATCTGTGTTTTAAAAGGGACCAACCAAAATGAATGAACAGGTGGTGACAGAGATGCTGAAGCCAGGAAAACCACCTGGAAGATCACTGGAGCAGTGCAGGTGAGATGCTGATTTGGAAAGGGAGAAGATAATGTCAACTGAGACGTGCTAAAGGTAAGCCACAGTGACTGGGAAGTAAGCAAAAGGAAGTTTAGTGTGCCTGAGGCTCGTTCCCTGGTAACTGGTGCCAGTTACTGACACAGGAAAGAAAGGATGGAGACTGAAGACCACAGAGAAATAGTAGGTTGGGTTTGGGGCGTGGTTTTAGCAGAAAGACCTACAGAACCATCAGGTAGCTGCTGGAAATAAGGGTAGGAAATATAAAACTGAAAGTTACTGGCAGAGACCTGGCCATTGAGGCATGGAAATATGAGCAACTATATGCAAACTGAGAAGAGAAGGGAAAGGGAAAATAAAAAACCTCGGAGAATGCCAACACATAGGAAACAAGCACTGGAAAGGCAACCTGAAGAGAGATCGAGAAGGTAG